CTCGTGAGCAGAGACGTCATGCATTCTTGTTCTACAGTCGGTGGCGCTGTGGGCTCGGTCGCTCCGTTCCCTACAAAATGGTTGATCGGACCGATCGCTGGCCCTCACGTCATGCTCGTGAACGGGCGCATTCTGCTGGAGCAGGTCGGACCGCTTATCGCGCGGGTGGGCCGACCCAGTAGGGTTACTGTAAAATGTAATAAAACATGTATTGTGTGTGTATATATAGATAGTAGACACAACCATCTTTATGGACAAAAATGTGGTTAATGTAGCACCACGTAAGATTTTTGTAACAATAAATTTTGACAGTAAAATAAAAGAAAATGTAATTGAATGACAACGGCACGAACAAGAGTCCGCGGAGAAAAAGAAATGTAATATAATAAAAAAATTTAAAAAAACACTGGAAGTGGATATTATTCCAGGCTCGGATCTAATACTAAAAATTAGAAAACTGTAATAATCTGCGTTGGATCTCATCTTCAGTACTTTGCTGGCATATAACACAAAAAATATCGAAAATCTTGTATTATAAAGTACATAGCCATTGTGTTTCTTTCCAATATCATACTGATTAAAATACAATATTTGTGTTCCAGTGAGGAGCCGTCGAAGATGGACCGGCTAGTGTACGACGCGCTGCAGTCCACCACTATATCCGCCGACCAGTACCCCAACGTGTATCGCTGGAGACACCACGTGGCGCTCTACCCGCCTGAGCAGAGAGACAAGTAAGTATTAGTCAACATTTTGACACACAACCTGGGTATACACCGCATAACTATTCTTCATACTATTGAGGTCCAAATTAGCAGATTCGTGGAAAGAAGTTACCATATTAACACTTCACACTTCTATTTCAATTTTTAATCGTTTAGGTCACTTGTAAAAGAAATTTATTTTTCTTCGTGTAGGAACACCATAGGAATGGGAATTTAAGGGATGCTTCTGAGTTTAGTAATCAGTAATCAGTAATCAAATATTTATTGCATCCATAATGTACACATACAGGTGGTTAGAAAAATACAAATAGTAACAATTATGGACCCTGTCGGGCACAGCAACATTTAAAATTGGTAGGAGAGAGGAATTACTATTAATGTTTATTTTTCAGTAGTATTAAGTTATTTACTTTTTAGCTTACACTAGCTTGTCAAATCATTCAATTATGTAGTCAATTTATCATTTAGAAATTCGTCTAAGGTGTAATAACATTTTTTAATCAAATATTGTTTTAATTTTCTCATAAATACATTGGTCTTTTCTATTTCTTTTAAGTATTCTGGTAATTTGTTATAAATTTTTATCGACATAACGTAGGGGCTAGAGGAGTGCATCTTAAGGTTAGAGCAAGGCAAGTCCAATCTGTTTTTATGTCGGAGCGAGTGGCTTGATTGTATGTCTCCTCTTTTTTTATAACAATCTGGATATTTACGAACCAGCTTGCACAATTCTAAAATATATATATTTATTAAGGTGACAATATTATGTTTTGTGAAATAAGGTTTGCAACTATTGGTTTGTTCTATGTTGGCTATGATGCGGATTAGTTTTTTTTGTAAAATAAACAATGAATGGGCATCCGTACTGTTTCCCCACAATATGATACCATAAGTGAACCAAGCGTGGGCATACGCATAATATATAACTATTGCAGTTTGTAGATCAGAACTTTGCGATTTTTGACTTTAATTTGAGAATATGAGATTTCCAGTTTATGTTTGTGTCTATTGTCAAGCCTAAAAGAATGAATTCATTAACTGTTTCTAGTTCCACTTGGTTATATTTAAAATTAATGTTCATTTGGGTTTTTTGGTAAGGGTGAAAGGTTATTAATTTGGTCTTCGTAAAATTTATTTCGAGATTATGTTGTGTCATCCAATTAGTTACGTTATTAAGAATGTTGTTGAGTTTTTCGTTGATATGATCAGTCGATCGGCATGAGGTGAGTATTGAAACTTCGTCTGCAAATAGGACACACGGCCCTTCTATGGTTTTGGGGAGGTCGTTAATATAGATTAGGAAAAGTAGGCATCCTATAACGCTTCCCTGGGGAATTGAAGCTTGTATTGGTCTGACTTTTGATCGAATGTGCTGTAGTTCTCTTGTTGTACTGTTGTAGAATTCTAACTCAACCAATTGTTCCCTACCTTTCAAGTATGACACGAACCAGTCATATGCCTTTCCGCGTACTCCCATACCATACAACTTCTGCAGCATTATATCAAACCTCACCCTATCGTAGGCCTTGGTCATATCAAGTAATATTCCTACTGCATAATGTTTATTGTTTATGGCGTTTAACGCTTCTTGGATGTACTTATATACTGCTAAGGTTGTTGATCTATTTTTACGGAATCCGTTTTGGCAATCATTAAAAATGTTGTATTTTTCACAGAACGAATATACTCGATTTCACATTGCTTTTTCAAAGACTTTGGAGGAAGTTGGCAGGAGAGCAATTGGTCTATAATTACTAGGGTCTTTCTTTGCGTTCTTTTTATGAATTGGTTTTATTTCCTACGCCTTCGTTTCCTACTTTGTTGTCATGAACTCAGAACTTATCTTAATTGATCAAAGAAGTCTTTATTTACGGTAAAGCACGTAGCACGTAGATCTGCATCTGTATCTACTTTTAAATATAGAAGCTATATCATTGGTCGTTTTTCCAGATGGTTGCCAGCTCCGTCAATAGAGGACAGTATGTGTGTGAGCATGTCCCTGGGTACGGCGAGCCCGGGCTTCGTCAACAGCCCGGGGCCGGCGAGCTGCTCCACTGTGGCCAGTAGTCCGGCGGCACGGCCCGGCCGCAGCGCCGCGCGGTGCTCTACGCCTTGCAGGGATAGAGATTCTGCTAGAGCGCCTCCACTACAGGTACTTTACCTTTTTTTATACCCAGCCCCTAGCTTCACTGACAGTCAAGTATATGTGTTGGAGAGCCAAGCTTCGGTTGCGTTGTGTTTTGTCGTGTAAGGCTACCGGAGGCCCAATTACCTCCCCCGCTGTCTTCTATCCCTGAATCCCCTACAATCATCAAATTCCTAATCCCAAAAGGCCGGTAACGCTCTTATAAAGCCTCTGGAGGTCAGGTGTCCATAGGCGACGCCGATTGCTTACCATCAGGTGATCGGTCTGCTCGTACACCGGCTTATCCCATAAAAATGGAAGTCATTCAGGTTGACGGACTGTTCTATTCAAATTTGAAAGTGCTTGTAAATTGATAAATATAAATAAATGCTTTGATACTACCGTATGGCCACAATAAAAGCCGTTTTATGGTCAGAACAAAACCACGGGTTAAGTACAGAAACATTGCATTTGATTGCCTTTTTTTGACTGGTCGCAAATCCGACCTCTGGTATATTATGGTACTATAGCAGTATAGAAGCTAATGTTCTGCAAGGAAAGTATCTTTATCAAAATATTTTCAATGTAATATGTATAATGTCATTGTTTGTCTTTATAGGTGTCGACCTGGCTCCGTGTGACGGGCCCCAACTCCCCTCGGTCCGCGCTGGCAGTCAAGAACGCGAACCACAACGTCAGCTTCGGTTTCTGATCCACACTCCCCACTACCCTACTCAACAGCAGTTATGCGATACATGTGGCCTTTTAAATTATATATGATCATTTCACATTATAATTCACTTAAAATAACAATTCTCAATCGAAAAATTCTTACCACTGCGTTGCATACGCAACATTCCTTAATCGGTTATTGGGCAGCAAAAATATGTAAATTGTTTAATTGTAATTAAAAATAGGTAATATTTCTTTAAGATCTAACAACACTTAGGTATTACTAACTCGTTTTGAGATACGAAAACATAACATATGAATCTACAAGTATTTAGTTAGTGATATGCATAATTCTAGTGTCTCGATATTGATGTTTCACTCCTTGACAAATATAAATTAGTTTATTTAATAATTGAATATGATTCGATGGTGATGAATGTTTATTTCTATAATTATTTTTAATTGGAGAATGTTTATATATTTTGTTTTATTTTCTCGTAGGTAATGTGGATTGGCGCAGTACTATTTAGTTTACAGTCCATTTCATTTGATTTCAACGGCATGTAAATTAAATTAAATGTGACTAACGTGTTCATGGCGACCCTATGTTTTAAAGAATGACAAAGTGCATTGAACTTGGTATTTAAATGAAAAATTATGTAAAAAACCGTAGTTCAATAACTTTGATTGACTTTATAAGCAAAGGGTTGGCTTTTTGTATGTTTTACATCACATTTGTAGAAATAAAACTTAGCTACCATGACTTTAACATAGAGCTTGTTCAAAGCTTATATTTTTACAAACATCTTTCATTGTCTGCTGTGCAGCATTGTGCATTAATCATATTGATGACAAACGAAATGCCAACGAAAAATCTTAAGGTAAGTAATATAATAGTTTCAGAAAAAAATACTCTTTGTTATTGATACAAATATATATACTTTCTATTATAAATAGAAAGATCTATTGAAATTATATTCAATCAATGAAGAGTACCGTTAATGTAATTCTAACAAATCTTATGTATATCGTTGTTTTAGATAAATTAGTTGTTAGGGTTTACAAACGCAACACAAACAGAAATCGTTAAAAATGATTAGATTTATTGTTTGAGCGCGCATTTGGCACAAAACAGTTGTGATTCATATTAGGTAATTAGTTTTTTTTAAAACAAGTAAGTTTGTGTTGTAAACCATTGTAAGACATTGTTCTAGCTGCATTTGTTTATCTCCTGTGTTATATATTATGACAATAAAGTTGTTTCACTGCGTTGATTAGCATTTAATGTAGTAAGGTCGCGACGTACGAACTCTGCGGATGCCAAAAGCTGTGAGTTGTTGATATTACGTCTACGAATGTTTGTACTTTTATATTATTCAAAGATATGAGATATTGGTAAACAAAAATGTATGTTTTATATGATATTATAATGTTTTAATTCACATAGACGATAGATAAATAAATTATGACTGGTTCTTTTTATTACTATTGTTTTTATTTAATACCTGTATAAATAAACCGATACAATCATATTTATCTTTTTGACAGTTTCTTACGCTTAACGAGTCAGCACAAACTACTAAGTCGTGGTGCGATATTATATTATACATGTACATTTGATCCAGGGCCATATTCATACACTTTCTAACGAACCGAAATTTAGTCACTAAAACGGGGAATGTAAATGCTCTGTGCAAGCAAAACATCCCGCGGTATGCACGACAACGAGAGATTGGATGAAGTAGGTGGACCGCTGGCACGCACTGCGACGTGCTACGAGTCCCAGAAGTTCTCGTCCTCGGACGTCTTGTGCAAAGATATCGGCGAGTGGTTCTCGTAGTCGGACCGGCTATTGTAGTTGTCCGCGTCGGCTGAGAAGTCGTCCGCATACTCGCCTTTCCCGTAATCGCTGATGGAGTCATCGAGAATTTCTTTGGAAAGTTCTAGTTGCATTTGCACGCTGGAAATCTGCTGGTTGGGGTCCGCATGGAAGATGGCGTCGAGGACATCGTTCCGGGTAAGGTGCGCGGCCTGCTCGGGTGATATACTGCGGCGGCGGCGCGAGGGGGGCGGGGAGGGGGAGCCCAACCCGGGGGACGGCGAGCGCGCGCCCAGCCCGGCCTCCGCCGCGGTACTGAGCCGCGGCAGGCTGGTGGCCGGACTCACTATGATGGTCATCTGCGCCGACACGTCGTCGGCCGGCGCCTCGCTGCACGACAGCGTCATCTCCTGCGCCGTCACTGAGCTCTGCACGACCAGAAACAACTCCTGCGTCTTAGACTTGAGGTTGTTCCGTTCAGTAGTGCTCTCCACTTCCACTCGCAGCACGTTCTCGTCTACGATCTGCGCGACTTCTTCACAGTCCTCGTGTTTCGGCGCGTCTGATAGAATGTTGAAGTCGAGGCTGTCATTGTCCAAGTTGTACATTTTGCTAAGGTTCTGTTTTAGTATTTCTAATTCGGCTTTCTTTTTGTTTTTGTTTTTGACTTTAATGATGGCGTCCTGTCGAGCTGAGTCCTCGGCGCCGCTGGTGTTCCCTGAGTGAATGCTCCTGTTGTTGGACTTGGTGTCGACGTCGTCTCGTCGTATATGTCTGGCAGACGTGTACAGTTTCCTGAACTCTATGAGCGGTTGTTCTAGGTAGTTCCCTTGTTGGTCACTATTTTCATTGCAGTCGCTATGTTTAGCGTTAGAATATGCTTCGGGGATGGGTTTTACTTTCTCATCGAGAGTAGGTTTGCTACGGAAGTGTGTTTCGCCGATGTTGAGTTTGTTCTTGTACTCGCGGATATAGTTCTCGAAGTCGTTACGGACAGACTTGTGTACGTCTGTGAATGGTTGCTCCCTGTCATCTCTGCAGGGCTCGTCCACCTTCTCAAGTGATTGGCTTCGTTTCGATATTACGTCTGGAACTGAAAGAAATTGAAAGCTGACAACATCGTGAAATAATAGAAATTTATTTAGTAACTAGATTACACGAGTTGTAGTGATTTTTGCAACTTACCGACAAGGTGTGTATGAGGCACTTCGTCCCTTGCATCTTGTTGCCTGCGTGCATTCCTCTCGAGACGTAGTTCAGACTGCCTCCGCCGGAAGTCGAGGTATGACTTCTCGACAGCTTCGGCTTCTATCTCCAACTTGCGCAGGCGCAGCTTGGCCTCACGTAGCACTGCATTGGGACTCTTGTCACGAGGCAATACAGGAGGACTGCTTATTATGCTGTCTTTGCTGGAAAAATAAATAAAACACTAGTTGTTACAGAGGTGAGATATTTGTATATACTGAATAAGCTACAAACCAATTAGACCGATTTGAAATAAATCAGTACCCGATACAATGACTGCGACCACAAGAAGTTGTTCCATCTCAGGATGTCGTGTCGTGTGTAATCACGAACAAGAGAAAATTAGACTCACAAGCAATAAGCTACAACTACTTATACTATATTTGTATTATAACTTTCGTGAGACATACTAAATAAATCATTATGTTTTCGGCTTACTCACGTAACAATTTGACGAGGAACTCGACTAGTTTCAAGCCATGCTAGAGGCCACTGCGTGCTACTGCATAGCAGTGCGACACTCGCCGCGTCGCGGGTCGCGAAATGCTGCTCATGAATATGAGCCTCTAGCATGGTATCTAGCAAACAGTATAAGTAGTTAAATCACTATGATTTAACTACTTATACTGTTTTATCTTCAAAGTGTTATCTTTAATCCTCTGCTGTCTACTACATCTTACCTCCGTAGTTTCTCCTTGGCCTCACGGAGTACAGACTTGGGAGTCTTGTCTCTGTCTCTGTTCATTTCTAAGCTCATTGCTGTACGTGGCTGTCGTTCACTAAAACAACATTCATCATTTGCAAGAAAAATACATACAATGGACTAGATTTTGCAGCAAGGCATGCCCTAGATTGGTTATTAATGTACCTAACTTTTTATGGGACAAGAGGACAAACGAACGTCTGTTCACTCGTCACTTTCATCACTTTATCGTAAGTACCTAATCCATGCCACCAAAGTAGTTCATGTAAGGGAGTTCCGTTGGTTATATCTAAAATGAAATGGTTGTGCATCCTGTGCCTTTAGACAAACGCCACTATAACGCTTGTCTACAGAGAGTAGAAATCTAAATGTATGGGGATGACACTGACAAGTGGTCAAAATTTACGTCACTCCCATATAATTTGGTTTTCTATTCTACATGTAGACAAGCACTAAATGGCATCCGGCTACAGCTGCTGGGCCTTTAGCCAAACGCCACTTTAATGCTTGTCTACAGAGAGTAGAAATCAAATGTATGGGGATGACACTGACAAGTGTCAAAATTTACGTCAATCCCATATAATTTGGTTTTCTATTCTACATGTAGACAAGCGCTAAATGGCATTTGGCTACAGCTGCTGGCTACTTCCGACGAGTTTGGATGGATAGATTAATATAGGTGGCATTCCATTATCTATGTATGTCTACTTAGGGAAGACAGGCATAAAGACAATGTACCCTACATGACCAAACTAGCTTCAGCCAGCGGCTTTGCCCGCGGTCCCGTGGTGTAAAAAGCTTATTGTGTTGTTTTAGACCGTAATCTGCCCCTGTTCCAAATCGTTCGTCCAAATCCACGTTCTGACGTGAAGGAGTATCCAACATACTAAATTTCGAATTTATAAAATTAGTAGAATTGCACTTCACTAGCATACTATTTAAGTTAGACTGCACGGATGGCGCGGTGGGTGGGCAACTGGCTACCGCGCAAAGTATAGCGGGTACAATTCCCTTAGGTCTGGGTGTGATGTGTACCTATGTGAACTTCTATGTTTGTAAACGCACCCACTATTCTTTGTGCCTTTAGGCTTAATTCACTCTGTCTCCTGCAGTAATTCACCAAGGGAAGTGGAAACTATCGTTTTTTTTCTTCTCCTCTTATAATATCTTCTGATTCACTTCGTTGCGGGAACCAAGACAGTTATGTCCCTGAGACGCGCCGGACTTTAGTATTCCGGTGTTTTCATGGTTGTATCTACTGTAGATCCTGGCTTACAGGAGTTGCAGCGGTTTCGGTTGTGGAGGGCTTGTCCCATTAAAAAAATGCACCCACGACATAGGAGTAAATACTAATGTGGGGAAACGTTTAAAAAAATCCATAACTTACCACGGCGGCGTGTTATATGGCTCGTCATCTTGTTGTATGGACCCGGACGCACCACTCATGTTTAGCCCCAGCCCACTATTGCCCGCGCCGGGGGAACCTACGACTACACATATTTATTATGCTTTGTACCTACTTCTTAACACGTATCACGTGTTCAAATGTGCAAAATAAATCTAGAATTATCATAACAGATTGTACAAAATCTAGATGTGAAAAATAATCTTCGCATCATGCGTAATCACTATATATAAAGGTTACACATGCTAATTTCAAGCACAGAAGAACGCTTTAATTAAGCGCTTGGCACTTCTACTAAGTAACAAGTGCTCAATAAAAGCGTGCTTGTGTATCGGAATGTTGCTCAATGTTAGCATGCTGATTTCAAGCATGTTTGGGAATGGAATGGCGTTCAATTTTTGTCAATTTTTGAGCATGCTCAGTAGAACGCTTTTTAGCGGGCTATAATAGAGCATGTTTACATTACAGTACCTTAACTGTTCTCGAGGATTAAAACACATAACATAACATCACGCCTTTTATCTCCGTAGGGGTAGGCAGAGGTGCACACATAAGTAACACCCACTTTTCACTATTTATGTTATTAGCCCCATGTAATAGAGGATAAGTCTATTGCCATATACCGGGCACAATTCCAGACTCCGTGCTACTACTGAGATTTTTTGAAAACCCAGTAATACTTTGCCCGACCCGGGAATCGAACCCGAGACCGCTTGCCCGGCAGTCGCACTTGCGACCACTCGGCCAACGAGGCAGTCAAAACACAATGGGCATAGTCCAGACTAGGGGTTCACTATAAGATACTATTGTTTCAAAAGATACCAAAATCATATACAGTGAGTGAATTATTGCTTGTGCAATTTCAAAGAAATAATTTAGGATAGTATTGACATTATTACACTTACTCAATTTGTCCCGTAGCGGTGAGGTGGCCCGTTTGGTCACTCCGGCCAGAGGCCAGGCGCGGAAGCGAGCCGACCGCGACCCTATCGGGGACCTGCGTACAAACATACTAAGTAAATAGTCTTGTATATGTACGGTCAAAGGTCAAAAGTCCACTGGCACCGTAAGACTAGTATCGGTTGCGCTGCAGCGCTTATACCCACATGCACACGCATATTTGTGTCAGTGTGCGTACGCGTGCGTATGTTTATGCGTACGCACGAGTTTTATGAAATTACTTACGCATTGCCTGTGAACATCACAGTGGACTTTTGACCTTTGACTGTACAACATCTCGGGTCATCTACCAACTAATGACGAGACTTTATTGCAAGTCATAGCAATATCTCAAAATTCGTCAACGAAACAATAAGTCTGATGCAAACAAGTTTGGATCGAATTAGGCAGAATAGCACACGAAGTTAAGTACTGAAGAGAAGATGGGTGCAAAGCTTAAACGGGGGATAACTTCTATAAATTATTACTCAAGTTACATGACAATTTTCATATAAATACTGAGGGCTTAGTACGAGTTTGTTTCACGTTAAAAGTCTTCGATCAACAATAGCAACTAGATAAAGGGTTACGTACAAAATCAAGCTCCAGTTCTGTCCGTGTGAATAATAATAGTAAAAAAATAACAAACAGAGAAAAATGTTTTAAAATAGTTTTAAGTTCAACCTAATAACAACCATGGGACCTAATAATATAGTCATAAATCGTCAAAATATTATCTAATACTTACGACCATTCGTCACATAAGACGAGAAAAGTATTAAGTAAAACTCCTGTCATGTAGAAATTAAAAGACATAAGTTATACAATATCTAGTTTGAATTCAACCTTAAGTTTGAACAAATAAAGATATTTTTTCCATTATTGTCTTGCGATCTATATCGTTTTGTTTTGTTTCGTTTTGCTTCTTCAAATTTCGAATTTTGCTACAAGAGGTATGTATGGAGTCGCGTTGGACACTAAAATAATTTCATAATATGATAATTAAGATTTCGGGATCTTAGTATACATCACTTATTTTTATTAACGGTACGTTTTTATATATGATATGTTTATTTACTTTATCATTAAAAGTCTAAATCAAAATCATTTATTTCAGTTAGACCAGGAAGGCACTTTTGAACGTCAACAATATAAATTTAAAAGTGAAGCTATTTGCTCATTCCAAGGTGTAGATTCCTATGGAGAAGAACAAACAAGAAACTCTATAGGTTAGATCTTTTCCAATCAGGTTACAATACAATTTTATTTTACAACACAAATCGACTCCATGCATCCACTGTTCTGTTTAAACAAATGTTTGTGCGCATGTTGGCGAGGCTTGGCCAAGGGATCGCCAACACACGCACAAACATTGGTGGCTTTGGTTTATAATTGGTAATTTTGTCTAATTTGCTATTATTTACTAGTTCAAAAGCTTAAAATATAACTTATACTTTATGTACTTATCAATAGTAAGACACTCCGGCCGTTATACTGCTTTTTCGGTTATAATTTTTCCACGCACTGCGGCATCGTGAGACGTCAGAACGTTGGCCGTGTTTGGAGCGTACTAAACAAAATAAGAGCTCACTTCTCAAGTGAGCTCTTATTTGGCGAGACGATTTTCTTGCGCCGACCCGATATCTAGTTGTTATTGTTGATCGAAGTTAAAAGTAATCAAAAGTAAACGAGTCTGCCTTCGGCGCTCTGATTGGTTAGTTCATTACAGCCGGCCAATCAGAGGCCTTAGTACAAGTTTGATTTATGTTTAAAGTATTCGAAACGAGTACGCGCGTGAAACAAACTTGTACTAAGGCCTCTGAAGTGTACTTACCTCCGAGCATTCCCATGTCTATCCCTGAGCACTCCAATAAACGGCAGAGTGTCCCCGGGCACCAGTATGCGAGGCTGTGCGTTGCTGAAGACGCTCAGCTCTTCACCGGCGCCCTTCCTCCAACCAACGTTCAAAGTATTCACACTTGCACTACTGAAAATAAATAAAAATTCTGATAGCTTCGTTCTCTGACAAACCTGATATAAAGTTTTATAACTCAAGTCATTTACCTAAAGTCTCTGGTTTGTACGATTTACAATGTGTTTAGCATTTCCCTTAAAGAATGAATGAGTTTAGGGGAGTTTTCACCAGCCAACTTTTACTTTCTCTTAACTAAGAGTTACTAAGCGCGAGGGAGCAGCTAGACTAACCCCTTACAAAACCAAAATGTTGGTAAAAGGGGTTAAATTCTTGTGTGAGAGTCTCGATCTAGATCATTTGGCTGGAAGTAACCTGCTCCTGGTCGCAAGTGCGACTGCCAAGCAAGGGGTTTACGGGGACCAGAGGTCTTTTTAAAAAAAATCAGTACTAGCACAGAGTCTGGATTTGTGCCCGGTAAATGGCAATAGGCGCACCTCCTATTACATGGGACTCATAACATAATAGTGAAAAGTTGGTGTTACATTGTACAATGGCATTAAGTGCACCTCTGCCTACCCCTTTGGGGACAAAAGGCGTGATGTTATGTAGTTACTAACTTGTATATATGCGGGACGGCGGCGGGCGGCGCGGTGCGCGGCCGCGCGGGCTGCCCCGGGGCCGACAGGTGCTCTATGTGACTGCGTTGCTGGAATATGGCGTCACATATACTTTTTATGGAATTGGAACAAATGACCACGTAGAAAGCCTGGTAGTAAGGGATCAGCGTCATACATGAAACATCAATAACAGTAGAGAAATTACAAGTGCGTTTACTGCCTTTTAAAAAGCTTGGCTTCGTTTCTTGAACGTTTGATTTTTCTAACTTTTGAATTTGGCCATATTGATTGCAAAACAGCACAGGAGATACTTTCAGAAAAAATAACTTGGTTGAAATCCATGTTTAATGATAGTTAATATTAATAAACTATACAAACTACAACTCTTAATAGACAGTTCCTTTAAATACCTGTCTAGCGTACGCCTTGAGCCTATCATTCTCCTCCCTCAGTCGTTGTATGAGGTCTCTATCCCTCCCTCGTTCGAGGTCCAAGTCAGGCATGGCATTGTCTCCCGCCTCGCTCGATATGGACGACCGACTACGGTCACAACTCCTCTCGCGGTAGAGTTCATCCAAATTCGACTGGAAAATTAAAATATGGTTGTGAAATGCTTTGAGATAGAAGGGGGGACAGCAAATAGTCCAAAGCATTAGTAAGCTGAAGTAGCAGTGGGCCGGTCACATTTGTCGAAGAATCGATAATAGAAAACTTGTTCTAGAGCGCAGATCGCGTCTAGGTAAACGTAGTGTAGGGCGCCCTCCAGTTAGGTGGAGTGACGATATCCGCAAGGTGGCTGGCAGTGGTTGGATAAGAGTAGCTGAAGTTCGAGCTCAGTGGCGTGCCATTGGAGAGGCCTAAGTATGTATGTCTAGCAGTGGACGAACATGGGCTGATGATGATGATGATGACAGTTCTGCTTGAGTGGAAGCTTGAGTTAGGAAGGACTATGAAGCTGACTAATTGTCATCAAAATCTGGTAGTTAACTGGTAGAACCTACCTTACTTCATTAACCTTAAATTCAAATGTGTTACATTTGAATTGTAACACATTCAAATGTAACACATTTGAATTTAACCATTAAAAATGAAATGAAGACTACGAGTTTATTAACGCCCGAATAGCTACTGAAAGGCTACTCATTTTAAGTAGCACTTAAATATAATGCCATCTCTATCATTTAACAGAGAATTTGTAGTGACAGAACTATAATTAAGCGCGACTTAAAATGTTCGTCGTTTTAGTATTCGAGCATAAATTAATCTACGCCATGAGATCCGCAGTTGTCAAAAAGGGACCGTCAATAAATACGCACAGAGAACATACCTGACTAAAATTGACATTTTTCTTTCTGAAATCATTAACTAACTGATTCGTTTTCACTTTGTCATCGACGTCGTCGCTTTTGGAACATTTCTCATTGCTCTGGCTATTGTTTAGCGTGATGGTTACTTTGGAGTCAGTCTGTTCAGGTTCAGTACTTATTCCCCTTTCTATAACGCACTTAGCAGACAGTTTCGAAGATTCTAGATACTTTTTGAGTATTGCTAACTCATTTTTGAGTAGATCGTAGTGAGAATGCACATCTTCAGTGTCCATATCATGCACTTTTAAGACTTTGCTTGTAGAATTATGTGCTTTTTTCATATTTTCAAGTTCGGATCTCTCTTTCGTGATGCCTTCTCTCTCTTTCTTCATGGACTCTAGGTGTCCCTCTAAGACTGTGAGTTCGTTTGATATCTGTAGTCGCATCTCTTCGCCGCGTTTCTTTAAAATCTGTTCTGCTTCCGCTAGTTGGGTTTTTAGACTGTCCTCCTGTTACGAATTTCATTGGTCATTGTTAGTAAGAAGTTATACGTATAAGATAAAAACATACGGTAGGTACAAAGCAATATGGACATCTATTTTGGACTAGCTAGCTACTAATTGTAATTTTTCTAAAGATTAGTACATTCAAGACCGATTGCAACATTTTGAAATTGAAAATCCAATTTGAACAAGACTTTAAAGTCAAAGAAGTCGATTGATGAAGACTACCGATAGACTATTTGGCAGTTGCCATGGATGATGAGAAGCACCTAGGATCTAGGTCTAAATCATTACGTTGGTGGCGAGGAGTTATCAAGAAGACGATATTACCTTAAGTTCCAATCTATGTGTCTCAGTCTTGACGTCCCTCATAGCGCGCGCCATGCTGGCGTGCTGAGAGCGGAGGGCGCGCGCGAGTCCCCACAGAAACTGTTTCTTCGCAGTCACGCGACGCTCCAACTCCGCCTCGCGGGCTTTAAACTTTTCCTCCATCTGATGATTTGATGATCACCGTATTTTACATTAATACATAACCTCACGCCTATCTCCCATGTGGGTAGGCAGAGACAGGAACGCACATAGCTACAATTCTTACATACCTCTTTCGCTTCATCAACAGTTATCAGTCTTTTCATGCATGCTCATCGGTTATGAGTACTTTTTTTTATATTGACCCTTCTTTAATATATCGCCAATCAGGGGGCTTACTCTTGAATCCAATTCCGATCGATCGACATTGACATTGTGAAATTTCGTACTCTTGAGTTGCATTACTAGCGCCTATTGCATCCGTATTGCGTGGATATTTCAAGAACTAAATGGTATTGAGTTTGGTTTTATATTCCGTACTCTAAATGCTACTTTAGCTGCTACGATATGGGTTGTATAGTTTTGACATTGGATAATTATTGAGATTTTATTGGATTGAAATTGCATTGACATTGAGATTGGTTTCAAGAGTAAGCACCCTGGTCGATGTACGTTTTTTAAAGTATTTAAATGTAATTTAAATCATGCCTACAGAGGTCAATTTATTACGATTATTACATTTATTTTACACTAGCTTCTGCCAGCGGCTTCGCCCGCGATCCTAGGGGGAAAATTTCATTCCGGTCCCTTCAGTCGTTTTAATATGACTGAGTAACAAACATACACAAACACATGAGCTCACATATTTTCACATTTATAATATCGAGTCAAGCTAATTTCAGCCATCGACCCTACAGTTACAGCGTCAAGTCTATGGATGAGTATTGTAAACGTAAGAGTAAACAAATGTAAGCAGAAAGCTCCGAGCTGCTAAGCTATCGGGAGTTACACGTGTTATTGTAAGTCAACTATAAAAGATAGACATGTGCTGTAGTGGGATATTATTTAGATAATTTTATGTAGAACATTTCTGTGATACATGATTTCTATGTAGCTTTAACTATTAAGCTTGCACACGCGACGGAAGCTTAAAAATGGAGTAACTTCTCCCGTTTTCCCAATATTTCCCTTCACTGCTCTGCTCCTATTGATCGTAGCGTAATGAAAAGTATACTATAACCTGCCCAAGAGTATGAAGAATAATTGTTTCCATAACGAACATACAGACAGACAGACAGACAGACAAAAATTTTACTGATTGCATTTTTGGCATCAGTAGCGATCCCTAACCACCCCTTGATAGTTATTTTTTAAAAATATTTTATGTACAGAATTGACCTCTCTACAGATTTATTATAAGTATAGATAGATTACCCAAAGTTTCTTTACTTTATCCCAAGCTACTAATGGTTAATATGGTTAATTTATTTTGTTTGACTTCAATCAGTCATAGTGACTCATTGCTTAGCAGTGGGCACTTATAAGGCTAGTAGGTACTGATGATGATGAGACCTCATCAAATTACTTATAGGCACACTACTTTTTTCTTAATTATCGTTTCTCTTAACGTACCTCATTTCGTTTCATCTGCAGTTTGATGGCGTGCGAGGCCATCGACCGCTTCACTTTCTTCTCTTCTTCAATCTTCACCATTTCCATCTCCGACTCATACACACACTTCAATTGTTGGAACATCTACAATAGTATATTATTTTAAAGAATGAATTATTACATAAATACCGACTGAATACTATATTCGCTATGCAAAATGCTTTTGGCTTGTTCTAATGTCCAATGAAATTTACACACTAATGTCTAAATACTCGAACGCTTCTCAATTTTAAGTCGCGCTTAGTATTATAGTTCTGTAGCCACATCAGCTGCTGACCAAATGTTGACGTTACTCAATAGAGTACCCAAACGCCAATCACTACAATAAAGTCCTTTCATCCCTTCATTACTTTTAAGACCTAGCGTTAACTTCCCTAATTGCCCTATTCTAGTTTAGCTGTTTATTGTGCCTAATCATTTGTTAATTTTCGGACCAATTATATTTATTATGTATTGTACTGATTATATTATAAACAATAAACGGTGTTTCGGGACGCACGTGGCGGCCAGATGTCTCATTGGGTGTGACCTTGGCTATAGTAGGGATATACCTGGAATAGTATAAAAGCCATCGCTCACGAGGTAAAAGGGCTTGTCCGGTTAAGTAGTCAGCCTTAGCGTCCTAGACTACTAGTGGTCCATTAAAAAAAAAAAAGTAAAAGGGCTCAGCTCACTCATCCTCGGAGCACTCAACATCGCCTACGCTCCGAGACATTTGGACGAGTACGCTCTGCGACCACGCCTACACGACTTCAACTTGTTTCAATCACTGCACACAACATCTCCATAGTTCTGTCACTACAAATTCTTTGTAAAAAGACAGAGATGGCACTATATATAAGTACAACTTAAAATTGAGTAGCCTTTCAGTATTCAAGCGTAAGACACGCGATGATATTTCAATTTATAGTCATTAAAAGTTTACTTAATTAGACAAGTAAATGAATGATTAACAGTAAACATCAAAAGCATTATAAATATCGTGACACATAAAACATTGATTATATCTGTGCACCGAGGTACCTCGACTACTTTCAAGCCAATCAGGGACCTATACTCATGAGTAGGTAGTATACGCGACAGTCATCGAGTTATCTCGTCAAACAGTTACGTGTGCCTACAGCATAATTCGCAATGACTACAATATAGCAAGTATTAAAGACCTCTTCAATGAGGTTTTTCTCCACAACGTTGATGTTGTTAACTAGATTCTCCAGGTTTGCGGGGTTCATATTAGGACTGTCTTTATAAGTCTGAAAAAAATCATAGTAAAATCTACGGATAAAAATCATTAATTAACTATAGCTCTGTTATGAACAAGGCCTTATTGTAAATTACAATCTAAACAATCCTTACATTGTTGTTAACAAAACCCTATACTTTTAAATTACCATCTAAGCAATCCTTACATTGTTATGAACAAAGCCAAGCATGTAAATTGAATAGCAAATAAAGCAATCCGTACATCGTGTGGCACTTATAAGCGCAAGCATATTTGTCGACTATTGGATAACCCCCACTGGACTTGTAGGATGAAAACTTATTCAACTACTAACACCATTCTATATTATACTGTAATTATTGTAAGTCAAAAGTTGTGAAGTGTAAATTAAAGAAATTATAAGCAGCACTTGTGGTGTCGTTTCCAAAAAGGATTCCCAGGGCGCCATCCTAACAGCTCGAGACATTCTACTGCTGTACTATAAGCCTCCATTACAAAACAGGAAGTTTACAATTATCTCCACACTTGGCAGGCGGATTGGAGATCACAGTTAAATAGCCTTATCAGAGAGGGCGCTGTTGTCTGGGAAATGTGTGGTGCCAAAATGACTAAAGGACTACGCTAGTAATTTGATTGAGTAGCGAGTATTTAATAGTCCTCTCTCGCTTTGATTTCGGGACTGGCGCGAAACAGGACTACTAAATACTCGCTCGTCAACTAAATTACTAGGGTAGTGCAACGAAGGCATAAGGCTTAGTGGACTCGTATTGAGAAACACCCATATCTTCACTAGTTTTTTTGCTTTTACAGTCCAATTTTTATTTACCTAATAAATATCTATCCAAATCAGCCAAAAATGTAATACTGACAATGAAATCTAACTCTGAACACCTATATATAAAGTTCAAATTCGCTACACCAGCAAAATAGAAGGTTCTAGAAGTAGATTACCTTAGCCAAATGCTTCTTCTTTCTCTTATACATTTCTTTAAGCCGGTACATCTTGTTCTGACAAGTCTTGCAGAAAAGGTAATGGCGACATTTGTCAGGGAGGCCTGTTGTCTTATTGTGAGGTCTTTTTATTGTCTCATTGCTTGCCACCGACCTTACGCTTGAAAGGGATTCTCCTGATGAAACTGTTTGAGAAGGAGTAGTACAAATATAATATTAAAATAAGCTTAACCACATTATTGATAGAGTGGCTGCCGGTGCAACTGCCGATGGAGTCAACAGAGACAAGACTGACCTGGGGGCTAACTCTTCAATCCAATTCCGATCGATCGACATTGGTCATGTGAAATTTCGTACTCTTGAGTTCAACACTAGCGCCTATTGCATCCGTATTGCGTGGATATTTAATGAACTAAATGATATTGAGTTAGCTTTATAGGTATTCCCTACTCTGAATGCTATTTCGACATCTACGATTGTGGTTGTATAGTTTTGACATTGAATAATTATTGAGATTTTATTGGATTGAAGTTGCATTGACATTGATATTGGTTTCAAGAGTATGCACACTGGTGGTCAGTCTGACCTGGTGGTCAGTCTTGTCCACTCTTACCTGTTCTATTATTGTTCACTTGTAGGAAATATCGAAAGATCTAAAAATTCCCAAACTTACTTGACAATGGCACACCCACTCGACACACAGTCACAATAACGTAACATTATATGTAATTACTTTGACATACATCTTACTAAAACATATGATAGGCATTATATGTATGTCCATACCCTGTGGCAGTCCTACACTCTCCTTGTACAGGGGCATACACTTGAGTATGCAGAACAGTAATGGATTGTGTTTATCATTCTTGTACATCTCCACCACATTAGCTGCGTGTTCCGAGTCACATTGTACTCCTGGGAAAGTAGAATAGGCACATTTAATTCAGATATTACAACATTATACAGCTACAAAAATATACTTTACGAAGTAAAAATACTTTTTATCTGTTTGAATTGCAGTTTAAGTGTAGGGTTGTAGGGCCTAACTGCTATATGCCATAAATGATTCATGTTCAATGGTTCTTCCACAAATACTATATAAATACTACTATATTTTGTCATAGGTAAGAGTCCCAAATGCCCAACCATTTTAAATATTTACTTATAGTGAAGCAATTTATGCAAAAAAAAATCCTTAACATAACATCACGCCTTTTATACCCGAAGGGGTGGGCAGAGGTGCACACAGAAGTAACACCCACTTTTCACTATTAATGTTATGAGTCCCATGTAATAGGGGCCTATTGCCATATACCGGGCACATTTCCAGACTCCGTGCTACTACTGAGATTTTTAAAAACCCAGTAATACTTTGCCCGACCCGGGAATCGAACCCGAGACCCCTTGCCCGGTAGTCGCACTTGCGACCGCTCGGCCAACGAGGCAGTCAAAAAAATCCTTGCTAATATTAAAAATCGGAAAGTGAGTTTGTTTGCTTGTTCCGCTTTCACGCCGTAACTACTAAACCGATTGCTTTGAATTATTGCAGACGGAAAGTTAGAAGTACGGATTAAATAATAGAGTACTTTTTATCCCGGAAAAATTTGATATTCCCGATGGAAAACAAAAGTATTGGTATAGATGGCGCTGTGTGTAAAGGTATAATGTCACAGTCTGTAAAGGTATAATGTCAAATAGGCTACTTTTTATCCTTTTGTGACGCGAGCGAAGCCGCGGATAAAAGCTAGTAATATATGTTCACAAACACAACACTGGCAGGTTTTTGTTTTGTCTCAAAATCTTACCCAAGTAATTCAGTATGGACCAGATATCAGACTCCTTGAACCTCATATCCATCTTATTCTGAGGACTCTGCTCCATCATGGACTTGGCGAATCCAAATACCATATTAGCTAATGGTATTTCTGATATGAATACAGAAAAACTGTAGCTAAATTCCTGTAAGACAATTTTATATTCAACAATTAGTAATCATGACTTAATAATATTATTACTGAAAGTAAGATTAAGGAAGTTAGTATTAGAGAATTGAAATTGCCACAAAAAGTTTTACATAGAGAGGAGGAAGGAGGGTAGGGTTTCCCCTCCTTTCCCCTGCAGTGGAACAATCATGGATGAAAATAAAAATAAATAAAGAGATAATTCCCTACATGGTTTGATGTATATAATAATATTTCATCATCAACAGCCTATAAATGCCTACTGACGAGCAAAAGCCTCTTCTCACACGGATAAAGTTTGAGCATTAATCACCACACTTGCTCAATGCGGGTTGGCAATTACAAACTAATAATTAAAAATTATAAGCCCAGGCTTCCTCACGATGTTTTCCTTCACCGTGTGTGTCTAGATAATCTTAGAAAGTGCATGTAACTTGGAAAAAGTCACGTTGGTGCTTGCCGTTGGTAAGTTTCGAATCCTCATGCATGAGAAGTGGGTGTCTTAAACCTCCGTGCCACCACGATAATATTTAGATGTATCTTATTGGGTATTCAATAGATAAAACCTTGCCTTTATGTAATATGGATTCAAAAACATCCCAAAAAGTATTTCAGTCAACAACTTCGTGGATAGTAAATGAATTGTTTTTACTTACTAATCGCATAAGATATTCAGCTATTAAGATGTTGATAGCTTGGTATTTTAGCTCCAAACGTTGCGTGAAGTGTTTCTGACATGGGTGTGGGTCTCCTAAAACAAAAAGAGTTATGTTACAATTTGGTACTCAAATCATCATCACCCGCTGTTATTGAAATCCAAAGTTAGCAAGAAAAGGTTTATTGGTACTTTTGAATTGCCATTATACAGTGAATGTCATTTACTAGATAAAGTAGGATGACAACTATAATAATGTTAGTAATAAAAGTCCTTCAAGTCTATACTTAAATATGAAGTTTACGAAAATAATAACAATTTTATTTCCAACAAACAAAAAATGAAAACAAAAACATAGCAATCAAAACAAGGACAGGAGATGGCATTCCGTGTAAGTGGGAAAGAGACAGAATCGGGTTAGTGTTTGGAATGGTATTTTTTATCCCTGTAACGACAGGACGACGGTTTTGAAAATCAGAGGAATATGGCAAATGTTTTAACAAATATTTCTCACCAGTTTGTGCACTTTTCAGAACATTTACTATGTGGCCGCGTAAGTACGCCCTTAAGTCGTTGAGTATACCATTCTTTTCAAACAATTCGTAAATGAAAGACTGAAAGGAGTCGGCAGAATCGGCGTTAACCACATTCTGCGTTTCTGCAACGGCCGGCGTAAATTCTTTCGTAATTCCACTTTCCATTTTATTGTTTTAACTGTTTTATAGTAATTCTTAACAGAAATTGTGCCTACATTATAAATTTATGAGAAATAATTTAATAAATTACTGGAAATTTCAAACTTCCCAAACACAGATTTTTGACATTTGTTCTGTTTGTTGACGTTTCCGGTTGAAAATATGACAACGGAGAAACGATAAAATTAAACATACTCTTTTCGCGTTAGACACTCAAAAATTAGATTTCGACTTATGTTTGAGAAACATTGAAGTATTTAAAATATATAATAATATTTTAGTCTATAAATAAATGTAAAATATGTAAACTGCATTGCATGTATACACATAGTAGATAGTACATAGAAATTTTAACTTGTCATACAACAGTCCCTGTGGCGCAGAGGATAGCGCGTTGGACTTCTAATCCAAAGGTCGTGGGTTCGATCCCCACCAGGGATGCAATATAATCTTTTTGCTCCGGTTTTCAAAGATTTTAGTAAAATTATTAGATACTCATCTGTCTCGTAATAGCTATTATTGATTATATAATACGCATGTTGACAACATTTTAAAATAAACATTATATTAAAATTCTTATGTTCTCAGTGTTATGGAAGTTGGTTTTAATTGCAGAAAATAACGACTTAGATTAAATTTCGAAAGAAAAAATTAATAAGTGCACGTTGTAAATTATAATTAAAACGAAAGTTAATACAATGCAAAAATAAGCAGTGCCTTTAATAATTTATTATCTATAATTAAATGATAATATTGAACTAAGCTAAACTAAACAACTGGTTTCTAATTGATGTCGAAGAATAGTAGTAGATGTCGAATTCTATTAATATACCTACTGAAGATTTAATCCTTAATCTGTAATTTAAAGATATGAGCATATTATTATAATATATTAAAATCTGTGATAATTATTTAAAAGAATAATAGTCAGTAGATCTATGATAAAAGTAAAAGTTTGATGCTAAGCTAAATTAATGAGGATAAAATAAAGTTAGAATCAGAATCAGGATATTATCTTAGCACCATATTTTTTTTTGCTTATCCTGAAGTACGGCAAGCAAGCATGAAGATGAAATATAAGAAGCTAGTTGCGGATTACGTTTTTCTTTACACTGTTTGATTTTTCTGAGCTGCTGTTTGGAAATTACGATCTATTAAATAAATACGAAATGACGATCTATTATATTATAACTTTAACATCTTTGTATACCATGTTTTTACGCAAATAAATGTCTTTATCTTTATCTTTACTCTGCCAAAAGTGTTACAAACGGAAAGTTCAAGTAAAAATCATAAATTTTTAAATTGACAATAACGCCATCTGACTTTTTTCTAACTAACAATTTGATCGTGTGGTTATTTTTACAAAAAGATTTTTTTAATTAAAAAAAGTTACCGGCACGAGAGTTTAATTTATTTATATTAATAATAATAAAATAAGCAAAATAATTTATAAATAAATCTAATTTCTTCAGAGTAGATTTATTTTTAGTTATTGGGTATTGGTTAATTAAGGTCGCAAGGAACCGCTGGATGCAGGTCGCTTACAACCGGCCTATCTGGAAGTCATTGGGGGAGGCCTATGTTCACCCGTGGACGTCCTGTGGCTGATATGATGATGATGATGATTGGGTATTGAGGAACGTCGTGTTAGAAAAACGTGAATGTCAATGTCATGAATGACATGACATGAATTGACAGCTAATCGACGATTGTTGACATCATTGTGAAAAATAAAGGATTTAATAATTTTATTTAATTATTTGGTTTTTTAAGTACAAAACGCAAGAAATTTATAACAAAAATCATGAGGCGTCACGCAGGAGTAGGTGCCATACAGAAACAAAGATTGCAACAGGAGAAATATCGGGAAAAAGGATCAGAAATCCAGGAAAATCAGTTTCAACAAATGTCCAAACAATTGGAAGTTTTTAGAGAAAACTTAGAAGAATTTGCGACTAAACATAAGAGTGAGATAAAGAAGAATGCTCAGTTTAGAAGGCAGTTTCAAGAGATGTGTGCTGCAATCGGTGTAGATCCGCTGGCATCTGGAAAGGGATTTTGGTCTGTCTTAGGTTGGTGACGACTTTACAAATTAAAAAACAAGACTTCACAAATTACTATTTCTGTGTATAACTATTTCATAAGCTTTTACCCACGATTTCTCGTACTACTTTTATGTTTTCAAAATTAGTTAAGTAGAGTAAGCTTAAAGAAATAACAAACATAAGAATTGATGATTTATTTATTTAAATTGATGTAATTACATACTTAGACAGAACTTTTACTGTAATTCTTAAGTTTCTGTACCATTTTTGATTCGTTATTGTTCTTTAGTTGTGTCTTTAATGACGGTACTCAAAGAGTTAATTACTTATTCAAATTGCAATTTGTTTGTTAATAGTTTTTTTTATATTTCAGGTATTGGTGATTTTTACTATGAAATAGGAGTACAAATAGTGGAGGTGTGTTTAGCCACAAACTACAAGAATGGTGGGCTTATAACTTTGGAGGAGCTGCGTACGAGACTCATTGCAGCCAGAGGCAAGGCCAAGATACACCAAGAAATTACTAATGAAGATCTGTTGGTTGCTGTTAAGAAACTCAGGATATTTGGGAATGGGTGAGTTAGTAATCTGTTCATATTCAAATCTTTTCTGTCTACTAGCCTTAGCCTGTCTGCTTTGATTAATTTGTTCACAATTTATTATCTTGGTATTGGTTAGTTTAGCATTGCATAGTCTCTGTTTACCCCCATGGGAGATAGGCATAAAGTTATGTATGTTAACTCGTTGAGTACCGTCATTATAGACACAATTAAAGAACAATAGGTTGCGGTCACCGGTGACCGCTTGGTGTATGACAGTTTAATTATGTATTGGTTAGTTTATTTGTGTTAAGTCAGGGTCACTGTAAGAGTTCTGAATCCGTTTTTGAACATAAGAAAATGAATGGGTTAACTTTGCAAGCCAATAAACATATACATAAATAATGAAATTATTCACATTTATTGTGGAATCAAGTATTTTTTACTTTTTACTGTTCAATCTCCAATCGGTTACCGGTGACCACTCTACACTAACTCCATTATAGACCTTATTTCTGATGTTTAGAGAGTACTTTTGTATAAATAAATTTTGGGTATGATATATCAATATATTTAGTAATTTTGTGCTTTTTTTTTCAGTTTCACAGTAGTACCAATGGGTAAAGGCAAGTGGTTGGTGCAGTCAGTGCCGGGCGAGTTGAACTTGGATCAAACATTGGTGCTGCAGAAAGCAAGTGGACTGGGCACTGCTTGGGTGTCTCTTAGCATACTCATTGATGATCTTGGGTAAGACTTTTTGTCATATTAAATATTTGTTCCTAACTTAGGGTTATCTACAATTTTATAAAATGGAACCAAGACAAGTATGTTTTCTTGAAATAAATGTCACATATTATTATGCAAATGAAGTTCCTTCTATTAAATGTACTACATACTATGGTTTTGAATGAAGGCAGAATAGTTAACCCATAAATCCCCAAGCGGTCACCGGTGACCGCTTTCCACTAACATTACATTACATTATAGACCTTATTTCTAATGTTTAGAGACTACTTTTGTATTACCAAATTTAGGGGATTGGATATCAACGGGTTAATACTTCATGCTGATGTCTGTCAAATTTGGTAGAGATAGTTCCACAATGAAATTAATAAGGAAGAGACTAGCAACTAAACTGAACTTTTATTCTCTTATTCTAGATGGACAGAAACAAGAGCCCAGAATGCTTTAAACCACATGGTAAAAGAAGGTCTAGCATGGGTGGATACCCAAGACACAAAGGAGACCTTATACTGGTTCCCAAGTATGTTCTCTGAGTGTGTGGCTGCGTGATTTACAAATTTTAACCCTATTGTAAAGCTATAAGAGTTATATTGTGATATACATATTATAATTTATGTTGAAAATATATACAACTAACAAGAAATGTGTTATTTATTTTGAATCAGATGTTTTGTGGTAAGTAAATAAAATAAGGAATTTATATCAAATAATATTTATTATCTATAACTATATTGCACTGTGGTAACACTCTTAAAATTATATTAGGAATACATTTTTCATAGAGGTATGTTTATTGGAGCATTGGGTACAAGACAATGGGGAACCTTTGTCTATAGTGGTAAGGTCGATTTTTAATTATCAAATATCTTAGGTTAGACGTTAGACCATGTCTGAGAGCTAGGCTTGCCTTGCTTACTTGTTGATATCTTTAATCATCAATGTAAACAAAAATAGACTTTATTTTAAGAAACTTAAGATTGAAATCTATTTAACAATGTATGTGAGCAGGTGCTATCGTATTTTCTACTTTATTTCTTAAACACATTATCTATATTCAAATGTTAGCTGTTACTTTCCTCTGAAGAGCCAATGTAAGGCAGTTTTAACTTTGACCTTAGTTCTTTATTCTCTTTCTGCATTTCATCAAGTTTCTTCTTCAGTTTTTCTGTCATTTCTAAGTAGGACTCTTTCCATCTGTAATAAATGTATTATAATTTAAACCTTACGTGATTGAAATACGTCATATTAATGAATGCTCAAGAGTTGTTTGGACTTGTATTATTCCATTTAGAATGTATTATACATATATTGTGTATGTAAGAGATCAATTTACTATATACAATTTACTTAAAATTATTATAAAGGCAAAATAAACTATAAAGGAGGTATAACACGGCTAGGAACCCGTGTTATACCACCTTTATAGTTTTTATCAATCAACCAAATAATAAAATTATTTAATTCTCCTAGCAATGAGTAATGCTTTTTAACAGTGTACTGTTAGAAAATAATTAAAATTACTTTTTACTAAGCTCCATTTGATTTTCTAAATGTTTATTCAGTTCTATCACCTCCTCTTCTTTGGTTGTCACCATCCTGAAAGTTAACGAGTCTTTTTGAATTAATTTTCATATATCGAAGGATTTGCCAGAAAGCTCTACGAAGAGACTAGTTAAAGGAGGGTAGGGAGGCTTTTGCCCTGCACCATTATTCTTAGCTAAATAATAAGTAGTCATTTTAAATTAACTTAAATCGCGGGTTACTCGCGTGAATATACGTACTGAGAAAAGCTCTACTAGTTTCCAACCACACAGGGGTTCTTCCTTATAGGCTGCGTGCGCGGTCGCGGCGATGTCGCGCAGCCTACAGGCCATCATGAGTAACCCGCGATTTTAGTTAATTTAGTATGTCTCACGATAGTTAATATAAAAACAGTCATTTTAAGTAATATTTAAAAATGTAATTTTAGAGAATCTAAAATAAATATATGGAAATAATAATAAATATAAAAGTGCTCATAATATAATTAAAAATTCAGCAGAGTACTAAGAAGACGCAAAGCGACAGTGCTGCCATTTTTGGATACTTATTTAGACACAAACAAATACAGTCTTTTTTTTAAGGGGGGAAAATTATCGAATGGCTGCTCCCGTCTGGGTGAGGCGGGAGGGAGTGTCAAACTCTTACCGAACGAGTGTCAAACTTGCAGGAGAAGTCCTGCACATCGAGCCGGAACCCCGGTCACCCGCCGTTAGGTTCTCCGCAACAAACAAATATAGTCTATACTTACTTATGATTAAGTTCAGTTCTGGAGGCAAGCATAGTTTGCAGTTTGTTCACCATCCCGTGAGTTTCTTCTAACGATTTCTGGAGATGCTCCACTTGTAATCTGTAATGAGAGATACAACAATACAATATATATTTACACTACCCAATTCCCATTTTTTTTCTAAATTAATTCTCTCTTATTGCTCTTATTATCCTTATTTTTAGAGACTACATCATTTTCAGCTTTTTATGATCATTGAATATATTTATATTATAACTTTCGTGAGAAATAAATTATTATGTTTTCGGCTTACTCACGTAATTATTTGACGAGAAATTCGACTAGTTTCAAGCCATGCTAGAGGCTTATATTCATGAGCAGAATTTCGCGACCCGCGACGCGGCGACTGTCGTGCTACTCGAGAAACTAGCCGAATTCCTCGTCAAATAATTATGTGAGTAAGACGAAAACGAGTATTGTGTATCTTACTTGAGTTCCTCGCATTGTGTCTTCAGAAGTTGTTCCTCCCAGTCGCGTCGCTTGATCTCCCTCGCGTGGACGTCCTGCATCCTTTGTATGTCGATAGCAAGACATTGCTTCTCACATACTAGTTGCATGTTGCGCCTTTCTGATGCCACCTGGAGGAACGGCATAGATATTTGTATTTTTTTTTATGAATTTCAATAATAATTAAATCTTTATTCAAATTATGTCTTCATTTGGAAAAAAAATAGCTACTGATGATTTTTCCTTTTATATTGATTTGATTCTTCTTCAACAAAAACTATAACTTACCAATTCTTGAAACATGACTTCTAGTTTTTGTTCGGCTAGTGCAAGTTTCGGATCTACCGACTTCAATGAATCCTTTTGCTGTTTCAAGTAACTTTCGTTGGAAGCCAGCAGTATTTTGTTTTCCCTGAAAACATTACCAAAAACATTCAGGTACAAATGGACGAGATCTCATGTATCCATGTGATACCTACTTTAAGCTAAATGTTTCCTTTATTAGCCACGGAACACGTTGAGATTGGTTTGGAATAGGTACTCCCGCTTTCCATTTTGCACCTACTGAATTAGTAAGAGTTAAAAAAGTTTGTATAGGTACACACCTTATAGTTTTATTCAGTAGCAACCCTTTCTCCACGAGCTCAGCGTCCAAATTCCTAATATGTTGTAACATGTCGGCTACTTTCTCATTGTACTTCTCCTTCACCTCGTCCATTTCTTTCCTACACGACGTCTCTATCTCCTGTCTTATGTTCGATAATGTGTGTTTCAGTTGGGCTATTTCTCCTGTAAAAATATTGGTTGCTTAGGTTGGTATGTTGGAGTCCATTCGTTGTTGTCTTAAGCATTATTAAATTGCAGAACATGAGAGTTTCGAGCAATTCATTATTTAGTTTTTCGGCTCTCAAAAGTCTCAGGTACAGCACAAACTCTGGGATATACCCCGTCATAGCTTATGCTGCAAAAAGTGCATGTTGTTCAACTCTCTTATTAGCCTTTCTGTGAGTGAAGTTACATCTGTTTTAATGCTTTAAAAAATAAATCCAACTTACTAGATAATTCCTGTACAGTTCTATAAGCTTCATTCTTCTGTTTCGACACTTCGTCGTACAGTTGTAATGCTTCTGCTACCTGTAGAGAACGAAGAAGAAAGAGTTTTAAGGCAGAAATCATATTAAGATACTTCTAGTTCTTATAGACATAATAAAAGCTTACTTTAGACTTAGCTTCCACTTCCCTCTTCGATTTTTCAGCGCATTCCTTCTGATACTGTCCCAACTGTTCTTTTAAATCTTCACTATTTTTCTTCTCCACCGCAAAATTGATTTTATATTCTTCTAAACTCTTTGTGACGTCACTCAACTTCTCTTCTAACTCTTTGCCTCTCTCTTTATATGCTGCTATCTCTTTCTCTCGGCTTTTCAAGTCGTTTTCTAATACAGCGTGTTTCGTTTGCAAGTCTTTGTGCTTGTTTTCGAGGTCGATGTAATCTGTTAATGCTGTTTCGAGTTTTAGTTCAAAATCTCTTCGTTCTTCTGTTGAGGGCTGTGTAAATAAAATGATTTAGTAACTATTTTATACTAGAAATATAAAACAAGGAAGACTTAATTGTTTGTAGTTTATATTTCATTGTTTTTAAATAATAGCCTGTTTTTGAAGGGTGTAAAAATAAGACAATTTTATTTGATGTTATGATCAAATAAAATTGATAATAAACACGCAAGCAAGCACGAAACAAGTTCAGTTTTTTAAACGTAAGCACGGATTCGTAAAGTACCTTCTTTCCCCCACTGTCATAACTCTGGTAAGTCTTCAATTCAGTTTCCAGGGCATCTATAGTCTTCTGTGAGGTTTGCCAGAGTACATGAAGTGAGTCTCGTTCCTGAAGATAGAGAAGGGTAATTAGGTGGTAAGTACGTTAGTGTGCGTACTGCTAAGGAGTGGATTTCTTTGCCAGAGTTTGTGTTTCCTGAAGGCGTATAACCTGGGCGTCTTCAAGGCCCGAGTGAATGAGTTGCTTATGGGTCGACGTGCTCCATCGTAGACTGCATCAGGGCTTACCACGCCACCTGGATGGATGTGCCGACATCACTTCGTACGAAAACTGGGATGCCTAACTCTAATTATACAATTAATTTAATAAGAATCCTAATTTAATAATAAACTAAACAAAATAAATAAAAAATAAAAACCTTTGCCAGCAAAGAGACTTGTTTTCTAAACTCCTCCAACTCCTTGGTGTAGTCCAGATTGTGGCTATTGGCTCTAGCATTGTCTAACTTCTCCTTCAATAGCATCCCCACTTGTTGAGACAATTTCTGATTGTCTGCTATTAGAGTCCTTATTTCTTCTTCCACTATTGTCTGATTTTGCTATAATTTAAAAAAATATATTATTTTCAATTAATTAAGTTAAGAGTGTGTCGGTTGGCGTGCCATTGCTATGTACTGATAAGATTTTAATGACCAGTTACCCTGAAAAAGTCCACTTCACATTGAAGTGCTTCCAAAGTAGGATTTTCCATATCAAAATAGTTTTTAGCCATTAACAGTATAGTTACATTCGTAGCTGTATATTTGTTAATTGGTCATGTTTATAACAATATGATAAATTATATAAAAACTTAATAAATCTTCTATAACTTCATAGCGTCCACGTTTTGTTTACATTTCGCGCTCCGGAAACGTCATCATTTGTTGCTAAGCAACAGACGTCGAACGTTCGGAAATATAATAAGGCCGAACCTTCCAGTTTATAACCGCAACGGATTTTATGTAAAGTTAAATTATTAAAAACTTTGTTAACCAACTCTACGAGACAATATCAGTCACGGAATATAGAATACAATGGAAGTAGCTTGAAACCATATTTCTGCCAGAACCGGTGTCGCCAAACTAATACATTCATAATTTACTCATACTATAAATCGGAAATTACGATTGGTTAGAAAAAAAATGGGCGTAAACGAAATGCAAAAAAAATATCATACGATATGCAACTTTAAAACCAATGTACTATAAATCAAAATAAAAAAGTATGTTTTGGACCACCAAGTACCGCCATTCGTCGCTAGATGGCGTTTAACAATGCCATCTAGCGACGAAAAGTGGTACTTGGTTTGAACTTTAACGTTGTAAGAATAAAGGTGATATTTGAATGGCTTATCACTGGCTCGAATGCGGGTCTCTACTCAGATAGTGATGTAGGATAATTCGATAAAAATAATATCGATAATATGAAAATGTGTTTTAAAAATAATATGAAAAAAAATATTGACTGCTATAGTGTGACAGTATTAAAATAATAAAATTAATATGTCGTTGATAACTTTTTAAACGTAACAAAAAAGGGTAAGTATTTATTTACATGTAAATCAAAAACCATTTTGTTCGTATTTTTTATTAGTTTCTTTTTTCAAAAAATCATTTTTTTTATTTCACATAGGCAATATAAGTAATGCAACTATTACATAAATTTTTACAAACTTTATATGGATAATGTGATAAATGAGAGGGATGGCGATAAGGATGACAGTGCTGATCTGCTCCGTGAAGTGAAGGTTGCTTCTAATCACGTCGGGGTCACCACTAAAATAATAATAAAAAAATAATCTAAATAAATGTTACATTACACTTGCATCGATATCAATCGATAAATTCAATATGTGATTTGACTACATAACTATTTGAGTAGCGTAGAACTGGCGAGAATGTTCTATTGAATGGAATAAATCCAAAATAAACTTTATCTTGAAGGCGTAAGGTTGATTTTGACTAACCGTTTTAGTAAATAATATTATTTTAATGACTGTTTTTGTAAATTGAAATAAAATAAGATTTCTACAAGAAAACAATAAAAATTGTACTTACCGATGATACGGAACACCTCCATTTTTACGATTTTTCGGCTGCTATCATTTTTACACGCCAAAACGGAACAAAACGGCATAGTTGTGGAAATATGTATTTGACACGAGACTAGCAACTCGACGCCATGTTCGAACGAGACTGAACTCAAATTTTGTCTCGAGTAAGCAGTACACAGCTTAGCTGTGGCACGCGTGCCACGCCTACTTGCTACTTCCATTGTATTCTATATTCCGTGATATCAGTGTATCTGAAGAACTGTATTCACTTTTTTAAGTTAGCTAATGTAGTAGTAATTTCTAAACGAAACCTTATTTGACAGATTTGCTTTCATACAACTGTCAAATCAAGTGTCATTGTGAAATTGTCATCCGCGAAAATCGAAATTGCGTTTCGCGAGATTGTGGACTAAATATCGAAAAAAATGTAAATTATCCGGAATTTTGGTTTAGAAATTTATTTAATATCTGTTAAACATGTCAAGGTTTGTATCTATAGAGTTTTTTTATTTATAACTTTGCTTTAAATCTGATTAAAACATCGTGACCTTTGCAGTTGTTATGTTAAGTAAATATCGACTATTATTTAATTATTCCAGTGAGTCCAAGTTATACTTTGATATAAGAGAGGACCAGTGGCCTCTGGTTTACGACGATAATTATAATGTGTCGTTTTTGGGCTTAGAAAGGTTTCACGTATTCGATGCAAAGAAATGGCGCAACATAATCCAGGTATTATTATTTTTGATTCGCCGACATGTATAAAGTGTGTGCAAAAACAACTATATTACTATGCCAAAAGTATTGCCGTGTACTCATTTATATTAAATTTTGTTAGATAATGTAGATAACAAACTTTAAAAAATATTTTCTTCATAAATTATTGCTTATTATGTTTAATGTATGCTTATCACGCCATATAAACTGTTTCAGTACTTGAAAGAAGCTGAATTAATAACAGATGAACACTTAGTGAGACCACTTGAAGCTCAAAAGAGCGATTTACAAATAGTCCACACTCGAAAATATCTGAAATCACTCAAAGTAAGTTATATATGAACTCTTATTGATTTGTATAAATTATCATTGATCGAGTCAAATAGACAGGACATTACACTTCATTTTTTAAAAGTAGATACATTAAGTACCTTTACTTTTCTAAAGTAAGTTTTTTTACTTCCAGTGGAGTCCAAAAGTAGCTGTGATAGCAGAAGTTCCAGTGATTGCATTAGTTCCAAATATACTGGTGCAGTATGCATACTTGAAGCCTATGAGGTATAATCATAATAGCAACTTTTATTTTGTACATAATGAATACTTAAATATAATAAATGCTAAGTATTAACTTAAAATAAAAATTACATAAAAGAAAACTAAATAGAACTATTTACACAAAGCATTAAAAAGTTCATTTGTATCAACGTCAGTAGGGTAAGTTCCCAGAAGGCTGGGAGCATTGCATAATAACATAATTATCATTGACTTTATTAAATAAATGTAAATGATACTGAATTACTAACTCAACACTAGAGTCAATAGTCAATATATAGAAAACATATCGAGGGGTAACGGACTAATTGGTTTAAGCGACATTTTGGGCGATATTGAGTTATATATATATTCGGAATCAGCACATTTTTCTCTGTCGAATGTATATAATAACTCAATATCGCCCAAAATGTCGCTTAAACCAAATAGTCCGTTACCCCTCGATATGGTTCTGTAAAACATTTCATAAGTACATACAACTATTTTCAAGTAATGAAGTGTTGGTTCATTTTTTAATAACTATTTGTTAGTTACATCCATATGAAGGTTTGCTCGGCCAAAAGGCAATATATATTGTGATGACAGCGACACATATCAAATGAAAGGAAAAGCAAATCAACAGATGATGTCATAAAATCCTACATCGCACTTTTGAAGTTTACATGTGAATGTGTTAATTCGCATAAAAACTTAGGATAGAAAATCCCAATGAACAATTGGTGGGCAGAAAGCCCACCAGGCACGAACATCGTACCTAGTCAAAGGATCCTCCTTTTCCGATCTTAGGGAATTTTACTCTACTACTACTTCCCTACATTGCTAACATTGTAAAAATAATTAACAGTCCATTGGTTGGAAAAAACACAATACCATATTATTATTTCTTTCAGGCTACAAACAGGTGGTTCAGTGTTAGCTGGTAAATTGGCATTGGAGCGAGGCTGGGCTATCAACGTAGGCGGTGGCTTCCACCATTGCAGTGGTGACAGGGGTGGAGGATTCTGTCCATATGCAGACATCACCCTGCTTATCCAGTTCCTAGTGCTGCATGATTTGATACAGAATGCTATGATTGTGGACTTGGATGCTCATCAGGTAATGCATATTTTATGTCGTACCATTTTCTTGAAAATCATGGATTAAATAAAATATAGCCTCAGCTACATAATAAGAAGGTTGCAAATGTGATAAATATACAGATAAATTGACAGACAGAAAGTAAATTAAAGAGAATTGAATCAGCTAGCCGTTGAGTTACCACTTCCACTAGGGGTTATTTCTTTTATCATCATTTTCGTTACACATTTCCTTTTCCACTTTTGGTGGGTCTGATCGAGATTATCATTCCAGGGAAATGGCTATGAACGCGACTTCCTAGGCGTACCAGAAGTGTACATAATGGACATGTACAACAAGCACATATATCCGAACGACAAAGAGGCCAAACGAGCAATTAGGAGGAAGGTGGAGCTTGGTAACAAAGTCGAAGATATGGAGTACATGCTCAAGTTAAGACAGTGAGTTTACACAACTATGTCTACATAATTAAACTAGATTTGTCTTGCTTACGCCAGAATAATGAAATCGTGCTATCTCTGTCATTTTATAAAGAATTTGTAGTGACAGAACTATACTTAAGCGCGATGTATAATTGCGACGTTAGTTTAATTAATATCATACTTTGAATTAACTAGCCCTTTATAAACAATTATTTATCCGGTGGTGCGTCCTCGAGTCACCACCTAGACCAGCTAGTGAGTGTAAAAACTACATCACTAGAATTAATTATCTTAATCAGCCCTTTGTAATCAAGTGCTTGGAAGCAAATAGCAATAGTTATACCAAACAAGACCTAATTCGCTAGTAGCGCCACCTAGTAAGTGCAAAAATTAAATCTTTAATGTTTGTTTTGTTCTAAACTGATGTTCTTGTTACTTCTTCTAAAAAAAAATGTAATTTAGTTATGATTTTAATATAATAGTACATATGTCAATGATTAAGAAATAATTAAAATTAGCAATTGATACGTAATGAAATAATTTCAGGAACTTAAAACAAGCTTTGAAGGAGTTTAAGCCGGATATTTTGATATACAACGCCGGGACTGACATATTGGATTCGGATCCATTGGGACACATGCGAATTAGCGAATTTGTAAGTTCTTTTCTTTAGAAAAATTGTTCTTACTATCATAGACGCTGGAATTTTGACAAGTACCCAATTAACTCTCATTTAATCAAAGTATATGGATGTAGCACAACTATATACTGCTTTGTATTATCCGGAAATGACTTATTTGTACTTGATATTATTGACTGTCTCGTTGGCCGA